TATTTAATAGTAGCTCAGTTACTAAGCTTAATATATATAATATCAATTCTCTTAAAATATTACAGTGTTTTTTGCATGAAAAAGTTGATTTTTCAATAATAAATAGAGAGATAACAAAGATTATAGAAGTGAAAGAAGTGATAAAAAAGATAAAAAAGAGATAAAATGATAAGATTAAAGTAGAGATAGAGAGTGAAAGTGATAAAAGAAGTTATAGAGCAGTAAAAACAGTAATAGTAATAAAGAGAGTAAATGCGAAAGAAGTAGTAAAGTTAGTAGAGATGACAGAAATGATAAAAAAGAGATAGAAGTGAAAGAAATAATAGAGATAATAAGAGAAAGAGTGATAAAATAAGAGTAGAAATAAGGTAAAAGTGATAGAGAGAGCTGCGGAGCGGTAGAGACAATGATGATGATAGAGAAAGTAAAGATGAAAGAAGTGATAGAGATAATAGAGACAGTGATAATAGTAAAGAGAGTAGAGATAATAGAGATAATAGAGAGAGAGTTAAAGTGAAAGAGATAGAGATATAAAGTGAAAGTAATAAAGAGTGCTATAAGGTGTTACAGGTGATAATAATGATAGAGAGAGTACACAATGAGATGCTACTACATATTTTTAATGAGGTGTACGTAATGTCACATTACAGTATTTTTTACATGAAAAAGTTGGTTTTTCTATAATAAATAGAGAGAAGAGAGAAGAGAGATACAGAGAGCACTATTAAAAGAATTACGCCGGTAAGAAGACAGCTAGACAGTGTCACAAATCTTGGCAGAAATTCACACTGTAATTTATACTGAATATTCAGTTCTTGATTATTCATTGTCTTCACTGTCATCTTTTTAATATGTAATCTGCCTGTTAATCTCATCTCACAGTCAGATAAGTATTCTACTTCTTTATCTACTTATACTGTCTTTCTTCTCTATATTCATTATCATTTTCTAACTCTATAAACTTTATTAATCATGTTAAATTTTTGTAAGAATAGTATCTTTAATACTACTACTTTTCTGAGTTATTCAGTCAGATTTAAGAGTATCTCTAAGTCATTCATTGTGAAGTATAATATGTGATAGTTCAGGATTAAATTCACATTCAATTGTATATTTATATATACAGTTGATTTGACTCTTTGAGATCTGTGTGATTTTCATAATTTCAGTATTTAACTTGTTAAAATAAAGTGATTTAAGAGTCATTATAAGAGCTCTTATAGCCAGACAATCTCATATAAATAGAATGCAGAGTGATTAGAAGTTAAATATAATTACTCATTAAAACATAGTGATATTTCTTAGCTGTATCAATTGAATCTGAGCGGCGCAATTCTTTTGATAGCGCCCTCTGTAGATTGAAGAGAGATAAATAGAGAGATATCTTTACTAGTAATGATTTATGAAAAGTACTTAAATA